GATGAATTTGCTTCAATTGCTATTCTTTCTTTAAATCTATCATCTGACCAATGCTTGATCAATGGGAGTGTGTTTGGTTCAGGCTGCCCTCTGAATGCAACATGATGAAAGTAAACAAGTTGAAGAATCAAGACACATCCACAAATTCCTGATCTTGATTCTTTGCGTTTGTTGTTTTTTAAGCTCCCCACTGCTTTGCACAGATTATTCAGAACATAACCACACCAATCTAGGTTATGTATCTCTTTCACATTGTCTACATAGTTGATTATCTTGTAATCAAACACTCTGTTTGCAACAGGGGCCAAGAATGTGCTGCACACATACATCACAAAGAATCTTTTCAAATCCTCCCTTCCTTCCTTCATAGTTTTTATTTTGTTCTTTAAATTATTCACAAAGATATCATCACCTTCTAGAATTCCTAGTTTCTTTTTCCATTCCTTTTGAATCAAAGTGTTTGATATAGGTTGCTTCCTTAACAGAAAAGTCACCTTGTTCTCAGTTACATGTGGAAGCAAGAAAATATCTCCAACATTATAGGAACTAACGGAAAACTCCTTCACCATGTCAATCTTGAACATACAACTATTTTCATTGAAATGATCACAAAGCCATTGAAGTATATTTGTTGAAATTCTTGTCAAATTCAGTTCAAGCAATCCCCCAATACCAATAATTATTACATCTGATTTTTGTTCCTCGCTGAGATCTTTGATCAAATGAAAAACTGCATTTGGTCTGCAGTGTGTTTTCTTTATTTCCAGGTTACAATCATAATAATCACCTCCATCTTTAACCTCAATAACTTCATGTACTTCCTTATCAGAAAAATCAAGATTCATTTTCTTTTTTAAATGAGCTTTTCCCTTTTTTCTGTCTTGTTCTGTTGATTCTTCATAATCCTCAATTGGATCTTTTTTCTGGTTCATAATTTCTATTGTTGTTTCTATAATTTGTTAAAGTATAAGAAATTAAAACATATAGTCTTAAAATATAATATTCAAGAACAAACAATCTACTTCACAGCATATAAAACATGTTAAATAGCTTTCAAAACATATATATTTACTTTATAAGCAGTATTATTAACTTTATTAAACTTATCAATTACTTTTGGTATCAATCATGTATTATTATGCATTTTAATATATATATTGACACCATATACATATAAAGGAAAATAGTTTACTTTACAAGAATTTCAATTTACTTTATAGAATGAATCATTTACTTTAAAATTTATTGTAGACATCTACTTTTGGCCTCCTGTCCTGACAAAAAGTGCAATGACGATAAATAAAACCATCTTCGCGTTGGATCGAAATGAAGAATGCTTACGAATGATTGGCTAAACCGCAAAGACACAACTAGCCTAACCCAAAACAAATACAAAACAAGGTCCAATTAACAAAACCCCATCATAATTAGGCTTAAGCCCGTGCTTAAGACCCAATAATGACGAATTTAGAGGTGCCTAGGTGAAAATTCTGCTGCCGCAGAAAAATCTGCGAGCGCATTTCAATGAGTCGTGCTTGTCTGGCACGCGCAACTGAATTAGTTGCGCGCAACACCCAGCGCAACTTGTAGAGTTGCACTCGCAGAAGATTCAAAATTTTATAAAAATATAGAATCGAATCTTACCATAAAACCGTGCGCATGACGTTCAGTTGCGCTGCCCATAGCAGCGCAACTAAATCACTTGCGCAGGGATGCCGCATGAAACTCATCCAGATGCGCGCGACACCTGGTACAACAGAATGCTTAAAACCCTAAGTGCACCCATTCCCTACAAATAGGGGTTCAATAAGAGTCTTAAACACATAGAAAATAACCTAAAATCCTAGCGGAAATTCTTGTGAACTACTTGTGCCACCAAACCCTCTTGTCCTAAACTCTAACCCCTCTCAAACTTTGTTACTACAGTGGAGGTTCCCGAATAAGAAGGAGTCCATGAGTGTTCTAAGCGGAGATCTAGCAAAGAGAAGTGGTAAATTCCCGAGCACTAAGATAAATCACATTACCTTTTCTTGTTCAAAAGAACTTAAATCAACAAAAGAGTGTTGTTTGACCACTTTAAAAGGATATTCAATTAATCAATTCCACATATTATCTCGTGTTAAATAATATTAGAATTGAATAATTAATTGATTTATTGATCACCTAAGCCAAGGCGAATCTTGTTTACTTTTGCTCTGTTATGAATTTGAATTAAACAAAGAATAACAACTTTTGCAATGTAATTCGTACGTGATCCATGCTTGTAAATAAAATCAACTAACTTAGTCTTTAAGTATCACGTTGCATATATTGTTTGGTAATGAAATTTTGAAAAAGGAAGAGCTAGTAGAGGCCGCACTAGGGCTAGAAAAGCGATTCTCCTTTTAAGGGACCGTTACTTTAGTACCCTCGCTCTCGAACGCGTTTCTAGTTTATGTAGACAAATTTTTGCATGGGTAAACTTATGATTTGTGCTTAATATCCCCATGAACTCCGCATGGGAGAAAGGCATGAACGAGGTTTATGGGTTTTTTCAAAACTCATTGGCAACTCCTATTTGTTTCTTACAAAAAAGCATGATGATAGAATGAATTCTAATTTAAGGTCCCCCAAACAGTTAGGAATTCAAATCCTAAAACACCCTAACAAGTGTTAAGTCCTAATCTTTTAAATGGTCATGGGCATCTAAGGAATGACCCCTTACGATGGGGTCACCCTCCGTACAGTGGCGACTCCACTAGGGACTTAGAGGTTACAAGATTAGTTCTTAGTTATGGTCCAAGGTTTCCAACAATAGGTTGCCTATTGGTTGTAACGGGAATTAACTTGGACAATCTCTAGTTAGAGAGCGAGACTTGAACGCATAATATCTTCCTTTTGCACAAAAGTAAAAACCAAACAAGCAACATTGCATCATGCATAATAATAACACATTTTAACCTTTAGGGATTGGCTCATTGACTAGGGGTCGCCAACACTAAGCTTCTATCCCAAACTCAATAGCAATTATCCCACCCATATCGTCAACAAAATGTTTAGAGAGCAATGTCACGAGTCGACACGTTGAGTGATTGATTTGTGCATTATTTCTTATGATATACCCTTGGACACCCAAGCCTTTGACCTTAGAATTGCATTATGTGTATTGTGGCTTATGGTATACTTATGTGATTACGTGACTACTTATGGTATGCTCGTTCAAACAATATCTTCATTGAAGAATTATTTAAGGGTGATGTTATTTATTCGAATATATTTTGCGTTCTTTCTTCTTCTTTTTGTCTCCTAAATAAGCGTATCAATTTACTTATCACTTTGTACTTCTTTAGGGCTAGTTTTAAAGCTTGGGAACGAAGACTCCCGAGCGCTCGCATTCTACGTTTACCATCAAACAATCCACCTCTTTCAAACCACCTTCCATCGACAACTAGTCCTAGTCCAACAACAATGTCAACCATTGAGCAAATCCAAGAAGAGATTGCTCGCTTGAGAGAATAAAAGGATCAAGAGGACGAGGAAATAAGAATTAAGAAACTTGAAAAGGATGAAAAGAAAAATGTCGAGGCTCTATCCTTTCAACAAAAGATGGAACAATTATCCATCAAAGAAAACTCGTTGGAGAAGCTTGTTCTTCGTTCTACCATGGGGAACAAGTACTTCGACGTAGAAAAGTTTGCTCCTCCCCAGGAATTACTTTACCGGAAAAGTTCGTAGCTATGGACTTGCCAATATTTAAGGTGACCAATAATCCACAAAACCACTTAATGTGTTTTACTGGCACAATGGCATTAAAGGGAGTTGATCCTAAGCTTTTTGCTTTGACTTTCCCTTTATCTCTAGACCCAACCACGAGAGATTGGTACTATAGGTTAGATCCAAAATTCAAAACAACATGGGAAGATGTAGTTTCGGCTTTCATTACCCAATATGAGAGTAACGTAGAGTTCAAATTGACTGTACGTGAACTTTCAATGCTTAAGTAAGGCGACGATGAATGTTTCCTTGAATTCTATGTTAGATGGCGAGAAAAGGCGGCTCACCTTGCCCAAAGGACACCTAAACTCGAGTTAGTAGAAAAGTTCATTGACAATTTTCATGTAAAGTACAACAAGCATATACGTTACCTTGGTTTAGACACTTTTCAAAAGGTTTAATCTGTGGTTACTACGATTGAATATGATCTTGCTAAAGAAAAAGCAAACAAACCTTATCATCATCAACCTAGGAATAACTACAAAAAGGGGAATGATAATACTTAATCCTCTATTGATGTATTACGACCTCCACACAATATAATAACAGTAATGATCCTCGAAGAAGATGGACAAAATAAAAAAAGTTTACACCATTTCCTGTAACCTATAAAGAATTATTAGAAAAATTGAGCGAGAAAAGGTCTACTTACACCAACGTGGCCAACACCACCCACTCCACTCAAAAAAAGGTACGCTCAATGGGATGGTAGTGCTTATTGTGCCTATCATAGGGGCGTTGGGCATGATACCAAACGTTTCTATGTCTTAAAATACAAAGTACAAGATCTAGCAGACGAGTGGAGAATTCCCATGCCTAAACCTAACAAGAATGTATCCCCACTAGGGGTATTTAATATTGATGAGGAGCATATGGGAAATGATATGTTCAATCCTTTGGACTATATCACACCTATATGGAAACCTATAACCACAACACTCTTTGGGAAAACTAATGAAGTGTGTGGATTATGGTACGACGACTTTCACTAGTGGAAAAAATCTCATTCGTAACAGGCTATTTGTAACAGACAAAGCTTTGCCCATTACAATTAAAATATTCATAACGGGCAAAATAGTGTCTGTTACGAATTCATATTTATTCGTAACGGGCAACTTAGTGTCCGTTACGAATACGTATGTATTTGTAACTGACAAATTAGTGCCCGTTACGAATAAATAAGTATTTGTAACAGACACTATTTTGCCCGTTACAAATACTATATTACACGTAAATGACCAAACTTGGCCCAACTGATGAGAGGAGCCCAATACTTGGCTTTTTAGGGTTTCACCTCTTTCTCTCTAATCAGTCCCTCACTCCCTCTCCCTCCCCTCCCCTCCCCGTCATTCACCACTTTCTCTCATTTCAAACTCAGGCCCTCTCATTTCAAGGAGCAACGAGAAGACCTTTGTTCTGTAGGTTGTTGTTTTGGTGGTTAACTTGAGAAGCGATTGCGTTCATCTTGAGACGAGAAACTTGACCGGCGGCTTCATACAAGAGCTTCCAAGCGGCTTCGTTTTTTAGCAGAGGTGTCACCGGCGGTAGAAATCGTGGTGAAGGTCCGTTTGGGCTACCGTTGCTCGAAAACCCACTGCGGTTCGACCACGGTCCGAACCCGGTTAGCTTCAATTGTGGCAACGTTGAGAACAACCATGGTTTCTAAAAACAGAAATCAACAAACAAATTCAGTTTTTCTTTCTCAAATCTATGAGTTGATTTTGTAGAACGAATTAGAAGAGATTATTAGCATATTACCTCGGTGTTAGAGTTTGGGGAGTCCTGGAGAGTAGACTGAGCGAGGTGGCAAGTCAACTCGACTAAGAAATCGTCGTCGTCTTCATTGATATTAAGCTTCTCGTCATTGTTGCTGTCACCACGTTCAGTCTCAGTGGAGCTAATCGGCGAGGCAAGGGACGAGTTAGGGTCAAACCATTAATTGGAAGGTCTCCCCCTTCTCTTTGGCTTAAAATGCATTTGACTTTCCTTAAATTAAATTTAATTGATTTTAGGTTCACTTTGTTCTTGGATTTGTTGCTTGAATCAACTTATTTTTTAAATTTATCACTTAAAATCTAAAATTTGATTATGCTTATGATATATTACACCTGAATTTATTTTAAAATTTATATAATTTTTATTGTAATTGCATGGTAGTTAATTGTTTATTGTTGTTTTGATGAGAAGAGTGTAGCTTAGGAGCTGTTTATCTAGTATTTCTATCTTAGTATTATTCTTGCTGCTGGAAAATTCAAATTCTGAGAGTTTGCGCAACACAGATGCATATTTTCATACTAATGAGGTTGTGATGTAGTTTAACATGTTTTGTTTAATTATGCAATGTAGACATGTATTGACCAAGAACTCAAACATCTGTTTCTTTTCGTTCTTTGAAGGTCTCATATATTAGATGTTTTGGGGGGATAATTCGAGTCCTATAAACACTAATATCAATAATGTATATTTTCCTCTAGTGTTTTGGAAGATAATTCAAGCTAGAGAAATCAGATAGTAGTTAATAACTGCTATTTTAGGTATGTTTATACTGATCTACTACAGAGAATGAGTGATTTTTGGAAAATTGTACTGTATCAGCTGGTAATTTTGTGAAATGCAGAATAAGTGGTAAAAGAATGATGTTGTTCAGTAATGTTCAGTGTACACTTTATTTAGGCAAAATTATTTATGCTTGCTCCTTCCTTTAAAAGTGTCTGTTACCATTTTGTGAAATCTAGTTACTTATCTGCATATGTTTGCTTCTACATTCATTTAATATACACAGATAATGCCTATTGTAAATCAATTTGTATTTCATTAATCTCATATGCATTATTGTTTGTGATCTTATACTGTAGGTGAGTTATCTTATATGCTCTTTTTAATTATTCGTAACGCTTGATTAATTTATGCATGAGCCGTGGTTGATGGAATTATTGGGATTTTATGTGTTTCTGCTACTGACTTTTATCTTCTCGAGGAGACCTTCTTATAACTTGCATGCAAATTTTAGTTCTGATGCTGCTTACAGCTATGGTTATCCAACTCAGAAATCCTAACTTATTATCATAACATTGGTGTTAGGGAGGTGAACAGGAGATGGACTTGTTGTTTACTAGAGCTAGAAATCTTCTATTACTTGATTGTCTTGTTGTTTCTAATTGATCAGAAAATGCACAATGAGGTGTGCTCTGTTCCAAAAACTACTTTTGTACTCTTCATTGTCATATGTGTTTCAAGCTAACTCTGAAAATGTTCAGGCTAAATCTTGTGCTTCTGCAAGCATTGCTCGTTTAAAATCATTAAAAAGAAGGGTGGTTGGTGTGTTGGCATCCAAATATATTCTTTCTATTCATTGAGCTATGAGCTCACTAGTGATCTTGCTGAAATCTGTGGGTAGGCTCAGAATTGCTATTTGCCTTAATATCTTGTATTGATATAAGATTAACCCTAATGTACATAGGCAATCAAGAAATATGTTTCATAAAGTTATTAATTTTGTTGTGCTACTTTAGCGCTTTAATCTAATTCTTTTATGCTCCAATGAACTCCTCACCTTGCATCGGCTGGCTACATTGCACCATGATGAGCTTGGTCAGGTTTGTATGCGGTCAATGAGAATTATATATATTCATAATATGATTTATATGTTGAGCACTTGAATTACATGTGATTTATCAATGCTGCAGGAAACAATTCTAAACCTTTCTGCTTCGCAATTACCTCCATTAAAACTTGTATGATCTGAGGTCCAAGGCACCTAGTTTTAGGGCTCATTCCAATCAGCAGGTATTCTCTATTACTTGTAATGCTAGTAATGTCTTTTTATGATTTCTTATTCACCAGTGTAGTAAAGCAATATTTACACTAAGAAATCTGTGATCCTTTGTCGTTTCACATTTTGTACCTGCTCTTCTAATAATATGAGAAGTTGATTTGATAATTTTATCCCAAATCTGTAAAAGTGATGTTGGCTATTGCAAAAGTCAAAAAATTTAATCCTATATTAATTGATAACTTGCTATTTTATGCGGTTTTAGGGCGTATTTGAACCTAGTTTACCTGAACAAATTTGTGTTTTGGTTCACTTTTACCCTATTATTATGCAATTTTTGTGTATCCTATGCTTCACGGGTTGTTAGTGTTTTTGTTGAGATTTTAGGTCGAAAGACGACCAAATGAAGCCCATGGTTACCAAACCGAGGTTAGAAGCAAGGAAATGATGGAAAGAATCCAAGTACAAGAGCATCGTAGAAGAAAACAAGAAGAAAAGGGCCCAGAAGACCCTGCACGGCCGTGCAAGATGTTGCACGTCCGTGCAGGAGTGCAGACCTGAACCCATCTTTCTGCCAAGGCCTGCACGGACGTGCCAAATATTGCACGTCCGTGCAGATGATGCAGCACGGGCGTGCTTCCGTGATTATGAGGCAGCACGGACGTGCCAAATATTGCACGTCCGTGCAAATATTGCACGTCCGTGCAGATGATGCAGCACGGACGTGCCAAAGGTGCACGCCCGTGCTGCAGCAGGTCGTCTTAAACTGAGTTCCTGCCTTGGTCTGCACGGACGTGCCAACTTCAGCACGTCCGTGCAGACCCACAGTTTACCCGTTTCTTGTTTTCTCCGTCCTCTTATTTTAGGGGGTAGTATAAATAGCCCCTTTGGACCATTTTAGAGGGGTTCCCAATTTTTTCAGATTTTCATACTCCTCTTAGTTTGAAACACAAAAATCCTCAAATTAGCATAGATTTTAGTTCTTGTTTTGAAGGTTTTCAATCCAATCATTGTAGAAGACAAGTTCCACCATTGTTAGTCAATTATTGAAGCTTCTAGTAATTTTTCTTACTCTTTCTTTCTCTCTTCTATCTTTAATTCTTGCTTTTTATTAATTGTTTGGTTGTTCTTTGCATGTTTAATTGTTAGATTCTACTTAATTCTTAGTTTTAATTTGTTCATGAATTCCTTGAAATCTTTAATTGCTTTAACTTCCATGGATTGTGAGTAGTCTAATTTCTAGGGTTTGGGTGAACCCTCAATGTAATCACCAACACTTGTTGCATGCACTAATTTGTTAATTGTGGGGTGTTAATTAGTTGAGTTTAAGAGGTTTCATTGTTAATTCTTGTAATTGGTCATTGCTTGAATTATTTATCTAGCTTCCTCAACGAAGGATCGAGAGATGAACTTGAGGAAGCTCCCTTATGCTTGATTGACTTGATTTGCCATGAGAATAGGAATTTCTAGTCAAGGGAATTTGCATGTTATCGTGAGGATGTTTTAACACTTGTTTCTTGCCCATAATCACGAGAGTAGGTTATGGTTTTGATGTCAAGTAATCCCTCTAGCTTGAGAGAGTATTTTGGTGCATTTGATAACTTCCCCTAATTTATCCCCTAAATCACCATTTCTATGCATGCTACTTGTGGTCCGTGATGAAGTTGAGTGGTGTAACCCATGCCCTAGGCCTTCTTAATATTGTTAATCACCTCTTAGAATTAGTTGATTTGAATTAGAATAGTGTGACGTAATACCAACTTAAAACCCCCGACTTAATCTAGCTTGTTTAAACAATAACATTTGGTGGTTGATTCAACGCCTCTCATGGGTTCGACCCTTTCTTGCCCTTGCTACTAGTTTAGTAGGATCGAGTTAGGTCTTATTTCTTGATAGGTTGACGACGTCCTATCAAGTTTTGGCGCCGTTGCCGGGGAGGCAAAGTCACATTGAATAAGTTATTGTTGAATGAGTCTAGATTTGTGTATATGTATATAATCTTCTTATTTTGTTTTTGTTTAAGCGTGTTTACTTTGTGATAGTCATTGCTAACGTTTTCCTTAGCTTTGTTTGACTGTGCATGACACGGAGGAGTAAGCAATCACCGCTTATCCCCGTAGATCCGGAGTTAAATAGAACTTTGAGGAACGTAAGAAGGCTCCTACAAGGCACGCCGGATTTTTCTCTAGCTTATACGGATTCCGAGTCGGAGGATAATCTTGACAACGAGCAAGAGATGGCCAACCCACCGCCTCCTCCACTTCTACAAGACTATGACCACCCCGATGCATTCCAACTTCGGAGTGGCATACTTCTTCCCACCACCAATGCAAACAACTATGAGTTCTCTCCTCAACTCATAAGGATGATCCAAAGTGAACAGTTCGGGGGGAGTGCAAATGAGTGCCCTCTAGCTCATTTAGACAACTTCCTTGAGTTGTGCACTACCATCAAGCAAAACAACCTCACGGAGGAATTCATTTGGATGCATATGTTTCGGTTCTCTCTTAGGGACAAGGCTAAGTGTTGGTTGAGGTCCGTGAAAGAAGGATCCTTAACAACATGGGAAGAGGTTACCAAAGCATTTCTTGGGAAGTTTTGTCCGCCCGAAAAGACCGCGGAATTGAGAAGGAAGATTACAAGCTTCACTCAAGAGGATGATGAAACCTTAGGTGAAGCATGGGAAAGATTCAAGGATCTAAAGAGGAAGTGTCCACACCATGGGTTGCCTTTATGGATGATTATTCAAAGCTTCTACGACGGTCTCACTCCTACCTCAAGGGCCAATCTTGACAACGGAGCCGGTGGTAGTCTTAAAAAGCTACCGGTGGAAGAAGCCGAGAATATGATTGAAGAAGTTGCAAGGCATTACGCCTATAGATATGATAGAAGAGAAAGTCAACCGAAGAAGAAAGGTATGCATGAGTTGAGTGCAATAGATCTCATTGCCTCAAAGTTTGATATGCTAGCTCACAAGCTAGACCAAGCAACCTCCTCAAGCGGTACCTCCTCTTCACAACCACAACCACAAGTCATGTCTTGTGAGACTTGTGGGGGTAATGATCACATGGCTTCATATTGCAATGCTACTAATGAGCAAGTTGCGGCCGTGAACCAAAGAAATGAGCAACCTTTCAATCAAGGTTGGAGGCAACAAAACCAAGGGTGGAGACAACCCAATCAAAACCAACAATCCAACTACAACAACCCTCCTCAAAACATCTACAACCAAAATCAACAAAATCACCAAGCCCCATACCGCCATCCAAACCAACAAAGACAGCAATTCAACCAACAACCTCCTCCACCCCAAAAGACTTCCCTTGAGGCCGCTCTTGAGTCTTTCATAAATCAACAAGGGAAGAGCAATGCAGAAATGAGCTCCAACATCCAACAACTTCAAGCGCACAACAAAATAATTGAGAATCAACTAGCTCAAATTGCACAACAAGTTGGGAGTTCTACCTCCAATGCTAGTGGTCAATTTCCAAGCTCAACGGTTGTGAACCCGAAGGAGCATGTCAAGGCTATCACATTGAGGTCCGGGAGAGGGTATGAAGGTCCGGTAATGAGTGAAGATGTGCCACAAAAGAGAGATGAGGGTGTGGAGGTGAGAAGTGAGAATGATGTTGAAAATGAGGTGGTAGAAGTTGAGAGAAAAGAAAAAGAAAAGAGTGTTGAGGGAGACACAAAGAAAGGAGAGGGAGTTGAAGTTGAAGTGGAGAAACCCCCAATGAGAGTCTACAAGCCACCTATTCCTTTCCCTCATAGGTTGGTAGAGAAAAAATTGAATGAGAAGTTTTCAAAGTTCCTTGAGGTCATGAGAGGGCTCCAAGTGAACATTCCCTTTCTTCATGCTATGTCACAAATGCCTACATATGCGAAATTTTTAAAAGATCTCTTGTCCAACAAAAGTAGGCTTGAAGAGAGTGCAACCATCTCCCTTCCAATGGAGGTGAGCGCAATCATTCAAAACAAGCTTCCCCGAAAGCTTGGTGACCCGGGTAGCTATGCAATTCCGGTGAAGATTGGAGATATGGAAGCCATGGATGCTCTTTGTGATCTTGGGGCAAGTGTAAGCTTGATGCCCTTCTCAATTGCGAAAAATTTAAAAGTTGGTGAGATGAAGCCAACAAGAATCTCAATACAATTAGCCGATCGTTCGGTTAGATTACCAATGGGAATACTTGAAGATGTACCGGTACAAGTGGGAAGAGTTTTTGTACCTTGTGACTTTGTGGTGATGGAAATGGAGGAGGACAACAAGGTTCCTCTCATTTTGGGAAGGCCGTTCTTGAACACGGCGGGAGTGGTAATTGATATGAAACAAGGCAAGCTAACATTGAATGTGGGAGATGAGAAAATTTCTTTCTCATTCTCGCAAGCCATGAGGAAGCCTATGTATGAGGATATCAATAGAATCGATACTCTTGACCGAGAAGTGGAGGAATTGAAGATGATGAACAATAGCAAAGATACTCTACAAGCGATCCTCACGGAAAGTTTGTACAATGATGATGATGAAGCTAAGGGGTACAAGTTGTTGCTAGACCAACCCCTACATGGCAAGGCAAGGGAGTTTGAAGCACTTAAGGTGGAGGTAAAAGAGGAGAGGTCTACGCCTCCTCCTAAGGTTGAACTTAAACCCCTTCCCCCTTCACTTAAATACGTTTTTCTTGATGATAATGAGACTTATCCCGTTATTGTCAATACCAACCTTGATGACACTTCCCTTGAGAAACTCCTAGTTGTGTTGAGGGAGTATAGGAGTGTCATTGGGTATGCCATTGATAACATTAAGGGGATAAGTCCCACGATATGCATGCACAAGATTTTGCTTGATAATGATCATGACTCCTCAATTGAGCACCAAAGAAGGCTCAACCCCAACATGAAAGAAGTTGTTAAAAAAGAGGTTTTGAAACTTCTTGAAGCGGGCATAATCTACCCTATCTCCGATAGCAAGTGGGTTAGCCCGGTTCAAGTTGTTCCAAAAAAAGGGGGCATGACCATTATCAAGAACGATAAGGGTGAGACCATTTCTACAAGGTCGGTCACCGGGTGGAGAATGTGCATAGACTATCGAAAATTGAACAAATCCACTCGGAAGGACCACTTCCCTCTCCCCTTTATCGATCAAATCTTAGAAAGGTTGGCATCACATAGTCACTATTGCTTCTTGGATGGGTATTCGGGATTCCTACAAATCCCTATCCTACCCGAGGATCAAGAGAAGACTACATTCACATGCCCTTTTGGCACCTTTGCTTATCGAAGGATGCCATTTG